CACCGACATCACGCAACATCATCATCCACCATAAACGTCCAATTGCCACCCCCCCCCGCAAGTGCGTCTCGGCTCCGTCTCCATTCGGCCCCTCCGCTGCATGTGTGATTCGAGGCTGAGGCTGTCACGGCGCGTCATGCGCTGTGACATGTGCGAAGACGCTCGTTTCGGTCTGTCGTCTACGTCAGAAGAAGTTCTAGGTGATCCTACTCTGCGGTGTGAATCTTTGAGAGCCCATACGGACGAAAAGCTTCAGGCCAACAAGGGACCACAATCACTCACTACAACCACAACATTTGAGGTAGCAGACTGTACTGCACTCACTACAACGTCCTCCGACCCCATGTTGGACTCCGCCCTCCAGACCAAAAGCACCCCTCGTCGATGCGGAATTCCAGCCTTCTGTCAGGACGATCGCCCCGCACACGCCAAGTGTTCGACGAGGGGCAGCTGAGGTGGGTAATAAATTCCTTTCACTGGCGACTGAACATCCCCTAAATCCTTCAGTGCCACGCCACCTACTATGACGGTGGCACTGCCTGACAGGAGTGGGTGTTAGTAGAAACGAGAGGTGAGTTCTAGGGAGTAGTCGTGAGGAAGGAGATACGATCGTTGGAACAAGAGCTTTATTAGCCTGACGTTTCGGATCCCCACTCGAATCCATCATTGGAGGAGGAGTCAGATAAGGGTAGTGGATTGCCGACTGACGCGCCAACCTAGTCCACACAGTTAGTATGTTTGTGTAGAGTGGCAGGCTGGTAGGCTGAGAGCCAGGCTGAAACAGCTCCTTCTCAACGTGACCTGCGGCACTCTCACGCATGTGAGATGTAGCCGACGGGGTGGACCGACAACTGCCTCGAGATGCGGATTCGCCCTTAGCCTCGCAGGAGACCCAAAAATAAGCGCCCCCCAGCAAAGCCGAATGTTGAGTTGTTGTCTTTGCCCGCTAACCATCTGCATTTCAGCAACGAGCTAGCTCAACGGCCAGACAACTTACTAATCGCCAATGCCGACGCCGCCGCCGCTCCGTTGGGACACAATCCAGTCGAAGTCGCTGGCCATTCTCGATCGCGCACCCCGCCACCTACAACCTGCTCACCGAGAAGGACCGCCTGCACAAAGCCTTCATCGACCACCTCACCGAAGACGACAACAAACCCGCCGCCTTGTGCAACAGAGGTTGCGCGAGATGCAGGACTGCTCCCAAAGATGAGGAGAGCCAGTGTTGTGTGTGCTGCAATTGTGGAGCGGCCGGCTGGTGGTCTAAGAGACAGGCTGCAACGGCTCCTTCCTAATGTGGCCTTTATGACATTGCCACTCTGTGGGATCCGAGCCAGGTGTGACGACACGCCTAGGCGCGGCTTCGGCCATGCCCGCCACCTGCGCCATCCCCCACCTCTGATCTTATTGATTATGTCTTTACAATCGATCCAGGTGAGGGGAGATGAGAAAGTGCGGTAGATGCTTTGCAAGTCTGCATTCAATATAAACTATATCACGAGCAAGTCACCGTCCATGTTTTCACCTTCTTGTGGAGGACACGGTGGACATCATCAGAAACGACCGTCGAACTGTTGTGTGCCGGCGGGACAAAGACTACCCCCCTCCTGACATAATTTTGATTATATGTGTAGTTTGTTTCTCAAAAAACAAGTTTCCATTTTAAATTCAACAGTTTCCGATTGCACCACCGCACCAGGTAGGCCGTCTCATGTCATGGTGAATAAAAAGAAGTCAGCGTCCATCCGCCTATTCTTCATGACAGTCATAATCCTTATAATTCTCGTGACTTGCCGAAAGGTTGAATTCGTACAGTGAGTCATCTTACTCACGATTGGGCGTCGAAATTTAGGAATAATCGCTAATAACTCGCAGAGTAAGGACCCAATATCCATGCTAATATATAAAGTCCCAAAATGAATAAAAAAAAAACACATGAAACCCACTTTGCCAAAAACCTACATCCTGAGTGTAGATTCCAAAACAGTTTCCCGAGGTTTCGTGATATTCTTTACGCTTTTGAAGTGTTGAAGTGGGTGCGTATGTCCAGGTGTCCCCTTCATATGCAGACCGTAAGAAGTGTAAAACATGTAATTAATAGCAAGACCATCGGTGTCCAGTCTAACTCAGTAGACGCAGTCTGCCCAGTTGTGTGCGTGTATGTGGCAGACTGGTGGGCCAAGAGCCAGGCCGCTTCTCAACGTGACCTGCTTCCACACGACGAGAGCCCGCACCCAGACGTACCACCACACACCCTGGTCCACAGCGAACATTGGAACACGGTATTCCTTGTGTTGGCCCAGCACATCCAGCGCGTGGCCCGTCTTAAGAGAACCCCACAAAGTCCAACAAACCCCTGCTGCTGACGTCTACGTTCAAGTTGCAGCGTCAGCTGCAACATTGGCAGAGAGGTGAATAGGGAGTGAGGAAATGCTCCTCGTCTAAATCCTGCTGTCCAATTTCCAACAAATGGTCTTTATCAGCTGCCTGATTCAAAAGGCTGGCTTAAGAGGATGAGGAATAGGAGGGAGTG